CCATGCAAGACTGCACAGCAGTAGAAGAACACAGGAACTGCCAGGCTGAATCAGAGCAATGGGCTGTTTGGTTCACTGTCGTCTCCGAGACTGGCCTGCACCAGCTGCTTCAGGCCAAAGGAAAAGAAACCCTGCAGGAGGCAGGTTTTGGATAGCTTGCCTCCAGGGAAAGCTGTTTCTCAACCTAGTACTTATGGGTCAGTTTCCAGCCTCCAGGCATAAGGGTGCATCTCCTTTTCCAAGCACATCTGTAATAGTACATAATAGTAAATCACTCTGGCTCTAATGCAACTCTACCGTATTGTACAGTGACTTGTGACCATGGTGGAGAAACGTTAGCTTTACAATTATTCATTCACATAAAACCCAGTTCATGCATCCCACAGAAGCCAAGAACCATCTGTATCAACTCCCATTTAAATCTCATTTCTAAAGCACATGCTGCACTGGCCAAGACATTGAATGCTAGCCATTGACACCAGATGAAGAAGAGAAAAGTAGCTTAGCCTGGAGAAGGAGAGTGAACAGCCAATAGCAGGCATGATGTACCAAAACTCTGATTCAGTGTGCCAGTTCAATGCCCCACCCTGGGCAAACAAACCAAGAAAGGCACCAGTGAAGGGCTGCACTACATGCTACTGAAGGCACACGTCACTACTGTATGAAGCTCCTGTGCTCATGAAAAGGACTAAAAAGGATGACACACAACTGCTGGATGAGATCAGCAGTCAGCACCAGCCAGCACCAGGCACTCCACACGAAAAAGGCAGGGAACCCCACAATGAACTTCTCACAGGGAAAGTTTTCTCCTGCCACAAAGTGAAGCAGGCACATTCTTCTCCCTTATATGTTTTTACCCCTCCGGCAAATTTCCCTGCTTACCCTTATAAATCCTCTCATCCTTTTCTGGATCCTGAAGTTCTTGGCCTCAGCGGTTATTTATGTGCTATGTAAACAGCCACTGCCTTTCATCTGTTTGAAATGTGCAGTCACTTCATTTCATTGCCCACTAGCCCCATTTGTTTGATAAGAAAAGAAAAGAGGGAGCCCAGTTTTCATCCGCTGAGTCTATTTGTTATTCCATACTCTTCCTCTCGCTCCAGCCTTTCCGATCACGGGGCGGGGGGGAGTCAAGGAGACTGTACCCAGCTGAGCAGGAAATAAGAGTATCAAAAGATAAGGCATTTCATGCTGTGCTACAGGAAGAGTTTAATTGGCAAGGTATGATCTTGTAAGGGTAGTTATAAGCTGCATGGCTACAAATGCTGTTTTTAGCACTCAGAGCAGAGGCCTGGAGTTTGGATTCCTGGATGCTAAGCCTAGCCCTGCCACTGGCCTTGAGCAAGTCAGAGCCTCTTACTTTAGATAACTTATTCAATTATTTGAAGGAGTTAAATGAAAGGAATTATAGCTCCTAAGGACTCATTTCACAAGCCAATGTGACACTCTCCAATTTTAGATTAGTGGCAGTGCTGGTCACCATGACTACAAAAGCTGTTGGTTATAAACTATATTTTATTACAAAGTCAACTGCTTGCAAAAATAAGATCTATTGCACTCTTTCAGCCAACATTAATCAAATTCCAGGGGCTGGCCACCAACGTGCTGCTTTTGCCTCAACCTTTAAGGCCACAAATTAAAAGTGCCCCTTTCTGCTTTAATTAATGACTGGATTAATAAAGCAATACCAGAGAAGTTACCAACTGCATAGGAACACTTTTGGCCCTAGCCAGTGCTTTGTTAAACACCTCATTTGGAATCCCCTACGGGAAAGCAGATGTTAACATAACCAGACACCTGTCAAAGGGAGTAGCAGCTAATTAATAGCCCTGCTTTAGCCAAGTGTAGTCTGGGTTAGATCTTTTGCAAGCTTTATGCACACACTGATCCACAGCATCTCCTACTACTCTGATCCCTGGCTCCGCACATATAGACTCACTATTCTCTCTACTCCGTTACTGGGCTTCTTGGATAAAGAATGTCACTCGGGTCATAATGTGCGACAGTTTGGAGCGTTGCACAGTCAGGACTGGTAAAACAGTAAAGATTTATTTTTGCTTGCTGATGCTGAGTCAGCTAACTTTTAAATGAGATGTTCTTGGTATGGGATAATGTTAATTGGAACCAATCTGCTGCACAAGCAAAAACTTAAGTCCAGAGAAAAGCCATTTAGGGTCACCTTTATGTCAACTGAAATCTGCCCATCTCACCCTGCTGTAAATGAACAACCAGCCATTCTAGTACACTATAACAAGCATCTTGTTAGATGATGACATCTCAGAATTGCTTGGTTATTTCTCAATAAGGGTTCTGTTGTCGAGTTTTTTTGCTTCTTTTGCTGCAGTAAAATGGAGCTGGAAAGCATTCACTTGCCCACTCACCAGAGAGAGAAGAAACTCTTCTTGCTGGGTGAGGATTCATTTCTTCAGGATTTCAGATTTCATGAAGAAAAAAACAAAACAATTCTAGCCCTTGTAGCTATCAGCACAACTTTACAGAATGTGACCAAATCCAGCACACCCAGAGCCATCCCCCTGAGTCCACAGGCAGCTTTCATGCTTTTGCTTTTGCTCATAATTTTGCCAAACACTAGTCAGATACAGAGAGTGCTGGGCAGAACTGCAGGCTGTAGGGAAGTCATCAAGAATCATGCTGGTTTCATGCTGATACTGGGAAAAGCTACAGACAGCACAAGCTGGGACTGGAGTTATTTACTAGGGAAGAGGTAGAGTGCTGTAGTCTTCCCCTCCCCCGAGAAAGGGGAGGAAGGGATTGAAGTATCTTTCCCCACCCAGCTGGCAGATGATAGGCTTTGACAGTGCTAGAAAGGGATTGATATGAGGACCACAACCCTTCCCTGGACAATGGCCTGAAAGAAATCCCAGCACCCTTCAGCCTTCCAAGAATGAAGACTGGCAGGGAAACTCATTGTTCAAAAACCTGGCTGAGATAACCGCAAAAGTCAATCTGTCTGGCAGTTTTAACCCTCCAGAAAAGTTCACATGCATGGACTAGCAGCAGTAAGCCAATCAGAGCCATGTTAATATGTCTCCATTAAAATGATCAAGTCCTGTGATGAAGTTTTCTTCATTTAAGGGTATAAATTAGGTTGATAATAGTATTAAAAATAACAGGGGGTAGTCTACAAGGTCTACTTTGCTCTGGTATTCTCTAGCCTACAGACACTAAGTCTGAGAAGTAAGTGTGCGTGTTGCTATCAAAACTGTTTCTTACACAGTAATTCAGGTTAGAGATATAGGACTTGTCTCCATGGCAAAGCTGTTACCAGTTGTACATGTAAAATTATAATGGGATAGCAAATGTGGGCCCAGTTTCAGTCTGATAAATGTGGCTTTTTGCAGGTTAGTTTAAAAACCCCTTCCTAAGAGGAAGGAGAGAAAGACCATTTATTGAGAGGTAAGAATAACAGCAAATTGCCAAGCATGAGCTGCTCTGTGGTAAAGTAGTGATGTGCACAGTCTTACCTGGGGTACACAGGAAATCCTAACCCCCAAACCATCTGTACATACCCTAGGCAAACAAATTAACCCCCAAATCACCAACACAATCAAAGTGTCCATACAGGAGCTCTGCCACCACGTCAACTGTTACAAGATCAGTCACTCTGGATTTTGAAGTTTTATTAAAGACCAGAAACTGAGAGCAGGAACACCAGCCTACAGGAAACATGCAAGCCTACTGATAAATGCCAAGGAAGGGACAGGGCGACCGGAATGCTCAGGAATTCAAAAGCATCTTTCAGCACATTTTGGACTAGAAGACTGCAGTCACCCACGCAGCTCAAAGCAATTAAACCTACCGCTTGACAAATGTCAAGAAAGGTGTGGTGAAACTAATACTCCTCAGCAGCCTGAAAAGAACAGCGCGGGGAGTGGGGTGGAAGAGACATCCTGGCCTTGATGTAACTAATAGGAGGAAATGTCCTTGTTAAGACAAAGTTTAGTATTACATGCGTTAGCGGACTGGTGACTTGCAGACTCTGCCCAGTGAATGCCTTGACCCACAAAAACTCATGCATGCAAACATTACCCGTGGCCTTATCTTCACTGGGATTCTACCCCATTTAACACACCTAAAGCAAGGACTGAAACAAAACAAAACAAAACAAAAAAGAACCTTCTCTAAGAGTGAGGAAACCAAGTCTTCAACACAAACTAAGAAAAAATCCTTCCTTTTTAAAAGTGCTTTTGGTTGCTGTACAGTACATAAGAAAACCAACCTGAAGTGAATTCAGTTGACTGAAGTGATTTACTGCCTTTGTGGAAGTTTACAGTGCTGACCAACCTCGTTTGGCTTCAATCCATTGAGTATTCTGAAAGTGATGGCATTTTCCCTAGCGTGATTAGGAGTCTCTTTTATAAAAAATAAAGAAGAATTTTCAACTCGGAGGACTTGCAAAGAGCCTCCTCACGCAGCCAGATGAGCACATATTTATGCTAGCTGGGCAGAGAAATGAATTTTCCTTGGGAAGGACCATGTTATTTGTAGCCTGGGACATATGCAAGATGTTGCTGTTGACTCCTCTAACACAGGATTTCCAAGCCAGCCAGCCCATCGCTTTAGAATCAAGTAGTGCTAAAGTTACCTTTCCACTAGAAAACCTGCTTTTTTAATCCCTCAGGGCAGTCGTTTTCAACCTGTGATCTCAGGACCCCTAAGAGGTCTGCGAAAGGTGACTATAAATCAATCAAAAGGATGCGAATAACCACACTTACAATTCAAAGGGGTCCGCACCTCCATTCAAAAATGTTTAGGGGTCCACAAATGAAAAGAGGTTGAAAACCACTGCTTTAGAGGCACCCCGC